TGTATATACAGTATATATGTATGTATATAAATATCAGAAACTGACTTTTTTCTGTTATTTTCATTTTATTTGTGTTAAAGATTATAAGAAAGTGGGAAACCTGACGGGCACTGTCCGTAAACACACCCCGACCCTGGAGGCCCTGCAGGTGCTGTACCACCGCATGCGCTACGAGTACGACTTCTACAACTTCGTCCGGGACCAGTTCCACCTCATGAAGAGAAAAATCGGGTTAAAGTCGGCCTCCCAGCCTCCTGCGTACTCGTCTGCTTTCCTGCATGAACTGGCCCTCCGGACCCCAAAACCTCTGGACGAAGATGAGGAACTTGAGTCAGACCTGGAGGATGCCAACAGATGGCTGGTCCATGCCTGAGGGCTGCTTGACACAGAGGACATAGCCAAATACAAGAAAAACACAAAAAATATATTTGGCTAAATTTGTCCAAAGACAGCTTGAGGCAGCCGGGAGCCGGTGGCAGTTTTCCTCGTCCTTCAAATTCATTTTTGCGAGTGCAGTTTTCATTCTGCAGACTGAACATGAAGATCTATTTAATTACAGACCAAGGACAGAGAAACAAAATATTACAGTCAGTTTGCTTGACTTCAGTTTGAGCTTATTTTAAGGTTGGTATGATAAATATTTCTGCTGTGATCTCCAGGAGAGATTAGAGCGAAAGCTGAACTGCAGTCTTTATCAAAGGACTGGTGTCACAAAAACTGGTTCGGGACATGAATTTAAAAAGTGCCATAAATACTGTGTGTATATTAGTTGTTCAAGCTTATTGCAGGTGCCAAACCTGACTAAAGGGATAGTTCGGATTTTTTAAGTGGGGTTAAGTTATGAACAATCAATATCTTACTTGGTTATTAAACTTTAACACATCGGGCATGGATAATATAATGTTTCTGCTGGGATAATCATGGAATATGAAACAAAGGGGTGTAAAGCAGTGCTTCTCAAATTGTGTTATATAACTGAAATGTGTCGCAGGCGATAAATCCTCATATTTCTCCCTCCCTCCTGCTGTACGTCGCGCTCAGCGAGGCATATAAACAACCGTGGTTGGTTTTTTTTTTTTACAACCGAGTCGGAGGAGGAAAAACTTGTTTTTTTGTTTCTTCGTAACCACAGAGATGAAGAGACGATGTGGATGGTAGTTGCACTTTAAATTGACAACCATCTTCTGCTCTGGGAGCGCAGTGGGTCATTTTCAGCTATGTGGAAGCTTACCCTGTACGGCAGGCTGTTTTACCGTAAAATCRACTTCACTACACTTGCATTCCAGATATCTGAAATTAATTTATGACTAGACATAATAGGTAATTAAGATATCTTTATTGTATTTTGACTAGGCAAAATACCTATTTGAGATATCTCAAATTACATTCTGACTAGTGTAAATAACAACAGATTAATCATTAAGTGGTATGGAAGCTCCACTTCAAGATATCTTGAAAAGAATCTTAACTATTCAAAAATATAGTTCTAGTTATCTCTATATGTATACTGTATATATATGTATATATG